TTACATTTTGAGATGCATCAGCTGGCCAGTTTTTTATCCATTTAATGTGTGGCATATTAATGTTATATTGTTCTAGTTTTTTCATTAAAATGTTGTGTGGCACCAAGTCAAATGCCTTACAGAAGTCGAAGTATATTACATCGATACTGTTACCTTTATTAACCATACTAGTCATCTTGTCAAAAAAAGTGTAATGTTTGTAAAGTGCTTCAGGATCCTCTGACTCAGGCCTGGTCTCCAGTAAGGAGATAAATCAGTCTAAGAGTATGTCTTCACTACCCACCAGATCAGCGGGCAGCAGTCCATCCAGCAGGGATCGATTTATCACGTCTAGTCTATAAATCAATCCCCGAGCACTCTCCTGTCGACTCCTGTACTCCAGTGCCGCGAGAGGCACAGGCAGAGTGGCAGCAGTTGACTCACTGCGGTGAAGACACCGCGGTAAGTTGATCTAAGTACATCGACGTTCAGCTACGTAGCTGAAGTTGCGTAACTTAGATCGATCCCCCCCACCACCCCAGTGTAGACCAGGGCTCAGTTACGCTACTTAAGTTGACAAAGCTTAGATCGACATAGAGTGGTATCTGTGCTGGGCTATGTCTACAGGAGACGCTCTCCTGTCGACATAGTTTCTGTCTTGCAGGGAGGTGGAGTACTGAAGTCGACAGGAGAGCACTCTGCCATTGATTTCTTGTGTCTTCACCAGATCTGCTAAATCGGCACCACTGCATCAATTTAGCCAGTAGTGGAGACAAGCCCTATGAGATATAGAAGTACAAAGCATCGTTATTCTTGCCACTGTGTCAGTGGTGCCTGTTGGTGAAGGGTCGTTTCTGCCAGCACACTATGTTTATCGTGTGGATGGTCAGAGAGATGTTCTCAAAATCTAAGGGATACAGAAGCCTCTATAAAAAGAAAAGGAGGACTTGTGGCACCTTAGAGACTAACGTGAGCTACAGCTCACGAAAGCTTATGCTCAAATAAATTGGTTAGTCTCTAAGGTGCCACAAGTCCTCCTTTTCTTTTTGCGAATACAGACTAACACGGCTGTTACTCTGAAAGAAGCCTCTGTGTTAGACAGAAAGGCTTATTGGCTATATAGTTGGATGAGACATATTGATCAAAGATCTAGAATACTGTAGTGTCAGATGCGTGGCCACATAGCCCATTGACTGTGTGGCTAGGGGAAGAGATGACTTAGTAGTAGCTTGTTGAGCAAAGAAGCAAAAAGAGAGAAATGACCTACAATGCAGATGTGTTGATGACGAGATGAACAGCTGGAGAGATTTACGCATCAGGCAGACACAGCCATGCCCGTTGATAGATTGGGCTGGTCTGGAGCTGCACTCTTGCTCTCCACCGCATGTAACAGAAATCCATTTTGCCATGCAGATGGGCCCTGTGGTATTTCAAATCCAGGTATTTCAGGGCTCCACCCACAGCCAGCTTGAAATAATACACAAATTGACTGCCACCCATGGTTCCTGACCATACACACATAGGTTTATAATCCTACCTTAGCTTTATCACACCCAATTTAAAACACCAATTGCTGTTTCTCCTTCTTTCCAAAAGAGTTTATCAAAAAAGAACAAATAAAAATCAATTAGTTTGATTCTAAGCAAGTTTTCTCAATTAAAATGTGTGATTATATTTTAAAGCTTGCCCTGTGGAGTTTTTAGTGGTTCTCTTGTATAATCTCACTGCTTCTAAACTGCTGACACCAATAACCCTGTAAATTGGCAGATGGTGGAGGGAAATCTACTGGCTTCTTACTTTTGTTTTTATGGTTTGATTTGATGGAAGAGTTTTTGGGTCAAAACCAGGAATTCCTTAATTGGCAAGAGAGAGAATTTGCCCCAATTCAGCGTTTGTGTAAAACTGAATTGCACATGAGCTGGTGTCTGGGAGATATTGTATATGTGGTCATGTATGGGCATGTGTGAGTGGTGGCTTTTCAGCTGTTTGTGGTTTGTAGTTGTGTGTATGAGATTGTCCCTTGGTGGTGTGTGAGTGTATTTCAGGGTCTGGCTGTTCAATGGGGGCACTGTGTGGCTAAGGAGCGGGAGGTTGTCTGTGTAGGGTGAGGGATAGATGCAAGTAGCATGACCAATGCCCTGCAGAATAGAATATTGATGGGACGGCATACAGTCATTAAGTCTTGGCATGGGTCGGTTCTTTAGAAAATGGCTGTTCTGTAGGAGGCGGATGGGGTTGGAGATCCCAGCACAGCAGCAGAGCAGGCTTTAGCTGGGCAGCGTGGTGGGAGTTCGGGGGCTCCCACGATGGGGATGCTCAGAAGGTGGATGGGTTAATTATACTGTGCTCTGGATTTTGCTGATTCTTACTCAAGTGGAGGGATTCTGCTCCCTTACTCTTGGTGGATTCAAATAAGTTTCTCCCATCAACTCCTCCTGGCCTTTTCTGTGTAACCCCCTTTCATCAACTTTGATTCAGGAGTGAGACCAAAACAACATTGTGACTGGCCTAAGTGTCCTGACAGAGAAGGAGTTCGTTACCATGAGCCATCCATTATATTGTGAGATGGTGATCAATGGGCTTGAGTCTCCTTGTGTTGTCTTTGCACCTGGGCAAAGGGAGCGTAAGAGACTGCCAAATGCGAATGGAATTGGAAGTCCATGCCCTCGGAAGGCATGTGGTAGGAGACTACCAGGCCGAGGAACCTATCAACTGCTGGACATATTCAGCTGTGAATTCACAGCAATATGAGAATACGGGGTAATCTGCGATCAATCATGCTAGCCGTGTTATAGCTTCTACACGTTACTCCATTTGAAAGGACATTCCCCCCAGTCTTAAGCCAGCACTGACTGAGCACCAGCTACTACTATTTAGTTCAGAAAATAATCCCTTGTAACTCTGAACAAACAGTTATTGAAATAACAAGTGAGGCAGTGAAGTAGGTCCCAGGAAGTGTCCCTGCTGCAGTCACTGGAACACGTGGCAGGAGCCTGCGCAGAGCTGAGCTGCAAGTTGTCATCCTCATCCATCCTGTTCCCTTGGGGGCTCACTGTTATTTCTGCATGTGACACTGTGAGCCAGGCATTTTATTACAATGAATGTTTTGCAGAAATGAAACTACTGTACAAATACCTTAGTTCCCCAAACCATTCTACTTGTATGCGCTGCCTCCATTTCCCTGCAGGTACACAGCACCCCCTGAGACAGGAAAACCAGAACAAGCCCACTCTGCAGAAGACACAGGACACTGTGAAGCCCAGCTTCATGATGGCTCCTTCCACCTGCACCAACGGGAGATACAGGGGGCAAGGCCGAGGGAAGGTCAGGGCTGGTGCATTCTCTGTCCTCCTGTATACAGGGCTGGGGAGAACAAGAGTTTGAGGAGCTATTGCAGTCCTGAGAGTTCGGGGAGTAACCCCCAACCTCTGCTTTCCAGTGAGCTAGCTTGCTATTTTTACCCAGGTGTAGGAATCAGTTTGCCTGAAACAGAAGACCGATGACTCCCCTAGGTCAAAAGCAAAACAGTTGCTTGGTCTTCTAGTCCTTTGCTCTGGCCACCACACCCTGCGTAGTATATTTCCTTTGCTGTTGCTGAGACCAGAAATCAAGTGTTTCTCAGTGTTGCACTCAAATTCCTCACAGTGCTTTAGGGGGCACTTGTTACAAGAGTTTATCCTGAGTTCTTGCTCCTTCTTGATATCTCCATAACATGCTTTTTAGAAGAGCTGCCTTCCTGAAAAATGTTCTGATTGAAGGTTCCTGAGGATAGCAAACATTGAAACCTTTTCATCATAATCTGATAAAGATATCAATTATAGAGAACACATGTTTTTATTATAGTCCCAAGACCAGTCTAGCTATTCAGTAGTGCACATTGTAATTTATAATTTAGCTGTCTTTAAACCTGGGAAAGGAGGGGACAGGCCTCTGCTTGCTTCTGTGAACCACATGCACCCCATTGTAACCTTTGGATTGAAAGCCACAAGTCACTAACCACAGGTGTTTTTGCTCAGGTGCCTACATTAATTTATTATATACATTTGAGTGAGTCATATCCATAGAGATTTGAAGACATTATTTAGAGCCAAGATACAAATGAGCGTAATTGCAATTAGAGAAAAATGAATAAAAAGACACATATAAGAATAAATGTAGCAAAGCAACCAACTGCAAAGTAACTCTCACTGAATCATGCATACTTACAATTCTATGGAGATTGTTAGAAGTTAGGATAGAAAACCAGTAAGTGGAGAAGGCACCATAAGTGTGTTTGACGACCTAGTTTCCAGCATCCTGTCATCTCAATCTCCCCTGCTAAGGATAGGTCTTGACCATCTTTTATAACCTTATTGTCCTTACCCCCCACTAGTATTCTGGGCCATCTGTGAGTTGGTCTCAGCCTTTTGCTGAGAGCAAAATACAATATACTTTGTTATTCTGGGAGACCCTCATTAGGATTCTGTCTGTTATCATAAACTGTTTGTGTCAACACATCTCCCAGTTGTTTTGGTACCTGACTGTGGTTTTGCTCCATGATTACAATACCAAAGAGAAAAAGGCCCCTAATCTCCGTAATTTCAAGCATAAACAGTTCTTTTGCAGTTTGCTGGTTGATCACAAGATATGTGCTGCTAAATCGTATAAGCTTAGGTCAAGCACTTATGCTGACTGCATAAGCCATATGCTGGTTAGGCTTTATGCTAACTGCTAGGCTCTGTTAGTCCCCAGACTTGCTGCAAAGCCTATTTCCAATACTGATACACTTTATTCTTCCCTGCTTGCATTTCAGCTTTAATATTCTCATCTTTAACATCTTAGCTTTCCTTGTCATTGAGATTGTAGTTTAAACATCAGCATAAACCTTCCAAGATCAGGTCATGGTCAAGGGTCAACACTCGGATGACATGAATGAAATAGTTACGGCTCCTCCTTGCAGCCGTTAAGGCAGCACTGGCAGAGCCAAGGCCAGCTAGCCCAACTGGCACAGTCTGAATCACCTCTGTGCCTTCTCATTGCAGGCTTCAGGCAAGGGCACACTCCTGTCGTCAGCCCCAGATCAGCCCCTGTGCAGTGGTGTAGCTGTGGAAGCTCAAGGGGAAGCAGAATCAGGCCATTAATTATTCATTATTACTCGTAGATGGTAAGTACGTTAAAGTACACTAGAATCCTTTAGATGCTAAGTTCTCTGGGCAGGGATCATGTCTTCCCATGGTTTGGGCTGTGCCCGCCTGAAGGGGACCCTGGTCTGGCTTGAGGCCCCTTCGTGCTGTTGAAATACAACTACTGACTAATCCTAACATGACAGTGACGGCACTGCAGTCATATAACCCTCACTGTCCCATTGTTTTCTGAGGGCTGGGGGGTGGCAGGGAAGGAACCTCCTAGTTAAAGGGGATGGAGCACTCCCTGCTGGCATTAATTACCAGCTGTGCAGCATGGAGACACTTCCCTCTGGAAAGGCCAACCTGCACCTTTTGATTTTGCTTTCAAAGACTTTTGGGAAAGGGAACATTTTGCAGTAAACATGAAGCCTATGACAGGAGCTGCAAAAGTGGCACTGAGCTGGGCTGACCCTGGTCAGGTTTTCCAATCTAGTCCGTTTTCTAGCGTAGTGTCTCGCCCTGCCCTGCCCTGCTCTTTGCCTCCTCCGTTCTTCCCTCTGCCTCCCCCACACCTTTCTGCTCAGAGTGGGGAATTGTTGCTGGAAGGAGATTCATGAGGTGGGATAGGAATGAGCCTATGGCTACATTCAAAACCCCCATGACTAGGGCAGTCTACATGGGTCACACCCTCCCCACCGCCATGCTCTGCCTATGGCTTAACGCAGTGTGTGCTGTTGATGGTTTTAGCCTGGCTTCCTACTTTTGCTTTATACCGTTTATCATAAAGTGAATGTTTCTTTTATTGCAAAGAGAAAAAATTCATGTCTCCCCGCCCAAAGTAAACCCAAATACAAATACATTTCTCTCAAAGTGCAGTCGTTGGAGAAAACCAAGGGCCATTCGTCAGGCCGACATCAGAGGAGCCGCATTTGCTCTGACAAGCAGCAAAGGCTTATGTTTTATTCACCAGGCCTGAAAAATACCTTCCTGAAGAGGGGACCATAAATAACCTGGTGTGATGAATATTACACAGGATAAAACTGATAAAGCAAGGCCCCTAAACACGAGAGATGCACAATGAGGTTAGGAAAGCACATGGTTTTCATTACAGCTAATCCTGCATGACAGGCTGGCAAGTACAGAGGAGAACTGAGAGAGGGGAAGTCAGCCCCAGAGACATTTTCCATCCCCCTAATGAAAGGCGCGGGAGTGGGAGTTACTATGCATGTAGCATTCCACTGCACTGTTTCAGTGCTGCAGGTTTGCCTGTGTACAGTTCTAGGTGTCAATACAATGCACGCCGGTTATAAGAATCACTGATAGAACCGTATATAGTGATCAAGCTACTGGGACAAAATCATTTCTATACCTGACCTATACTCTGCTTGTAAGAATCGAATCAAATAATCCAGGATGGATGTGGTCAGGGCTGGCTCTAGGATTTTTGCCACCCCAAGCTCCGAGAGCGCAATTGCCCAAGCAAAAGGGTGGCCGGAATGCCGCCCCTGGAATTGTGCCCCCCCAAGCACGTGTTCGCTTTGCTGGTGCCTAGAGCTAGTCCTGGATGTGGTTCTTATAAAAGGAGTGGACTGTACATCCCAAATGTGGCTGCCCAGGTTCAGTGAGCAGATGGGGTCTTGCCCGTCAGTTTGTAGAGAGATCCCCATTTAACAGAGTAGGTGGATTACCGATTCCTTTGGCCTCTTAGCTTCAGTCTGAGACATAATTTTCTATGTCAGGGCTCAGTCAGAGACCTGCCCATGTGGCAGGCTCGTTGGCTGCTTAGCATGCAAGTTGGGGAGCAAACCTGGGGAGGGATAGCTCAGTGGTTTGAGCATTGGCCTGCTAAACCCAGGGTTGTGAGTTCAATCCTTGAAGGGGCCATGTAGGGATCTGGAGCAAAAATTGGGGATTGGTCCTGCTTTCAGCAGGGGGTTGGACTAGATGACCTCCTGAGGTCCCTTCCAACCCTGATATTCTATGATTCCTGGGCCAGTATAATTTACACCCCCGTCCTGTCATTTGGCAGTAACATGAACTTGGATTCAGGGAGCCTCCGTTACACTCACAGCCACTTAGGTACCTCCTGTTCTGCATCACCTCTGAAGTAGCCCAGCAGAGGCACTGACGAAGGTTTGTGTTGGTGTGGCCTGTGCACTGAGGGCCTGAGCCTAGCGAGGGGTAAGTGTTGGAGGCTCCCACAATGGGAGAGGACAAAAGAACAGGATGGATAAGGTCCTGTGAGATTTCCATCCCCCCGTCGGACTTCCAGGGTAGGCTGGAGATCTTGCAGGATTTGGAGCCATAAAGTCTCTCGGGATTTGCAACAAGATTTGGAGCCATGATAGTAGCCCTGTGCTCAGGGATACCCACTTCTGTGTGCTGGTTTCCAGCAGTTAACCCATTCTCCCCCCAGCCTTGCAGCGGGCTATGCTAGTCACTGCTTTGGTGCTGGGAAGGAATTTTTCCCCATACCGCCAGACTGGCTGAGACTGCTTGGGTTTTTCACCACCTTCGCAGCGAAATCTAGGGACTGGGTTTTGGGCAACAGGCAGGCTGGGGTTCTCTTCTTTCTGGCGGCACAGTTTGGACCTAGGTGAAAGTCATTTAGTTGTGTCTACTTTTCGCAGGTGCCCAGTGTAGGAACTCGCTGATTTGGGCTCCAGATCAAAAATGGTAACATAGAGGGCATCCCAAGAGCATCTCCTTACAAGTTGGGGGTGTCTGGTCTTACCCCCTTGGGGGTATATGCCAACCAGGGTTGTGACACTACTCTGGGGGATCCACCCTATCAATGCACTTAATGGCAGAGCTGGCAGGGGGTTGAGGTCCCCCTCGCCTCAAACCCCCCAAAAGAGGAGGGATCCTAGCTAATAAATGTGGTGTCCATAGACACCCTCCCCTCCCCCCTGGTTGGTTGGCTTTGCCTGCATGGGAGCCCCCAAGAATTGGCAAAATGGGCTATGAGTGACTGCGCTGGACTGTCCCCTGATGGAAAACGAGGATGTAATTTGACTAATAAAATTGCAGCCTGGTTAAAGCCCCCACCACATGACCTGCCTCTTTCTGTGCAGTGAGCACCCCAAAGGGGTGATCTGCTTGCCTGTTAGTTGTTCTCCAGTGACAACTTCCCATCCAGGTAGGGTGGGCACTCATGCATTCCCAAAATACCGGAGATTCCAGTACTTCAGGAATGGCATGGGCCTGCTCCTGCCAGCGTGACCTCGGACACACAGAGTATGCCAAGTTGCACTGCATAGAGAGGTGCCATTTATAAGAGCGTGCCGTCCTGCCGCCGCTGGTGTGACTTTGTACCTGCCACATGGGGGCAGGGTGGCACGCTCTTAAAAATGGCGCCCCTCCATGTGGGGGGGGGGGGCACCATTTTGAGGATCTTGCCACTTCGCTCCCACCAGCCTGACTTTGCATGCAAGGTCACGCCAAGAGGGGTGAAGCCGCGTGCTCTTCAAAATGGCATCCTCTCTCTGACACCAGACAAAACCACGTCCAAATGGGGGACAAATCCAGGGACGACAGGAGTGTCCGGTGGAATGCCAAATGAGTGGCCTGCTTACATCTTGGCCTTTGGCATGTAAACGACTCCCCCAGCTATCGACACAGAGAAGGGACCTATGCCTAAGCTGGCGTAACGTACATGCTGAAGAAGCTAGAGAGGTGTAAATTACACCTTCTAGGCTGTCTCTTCACTGCCAGGTTAAATGGAGTGGCTGCACTTGTTAACTCCTCTAAGTTTGCCTAGCTGCAGTCAGAGCTGCCCCACTACGAAAGAACATGAGGTACACACAGTGATGTGCTGGCCTAGAACTCAGCTTTGAGTCCCTGAGGGGCCTACCAGCTCCACTTAAAAGCACCACCAGGCTTGAGTTCAGGCTGTTATGTGTGGACGGGACTTGAGTTAAGGGCAACACTCGAGTTATAACGCGGTTTAGCTATGCGATGAAGACAAGGCCTTAGACTCACATATTGATCTGGCCCTTAATCCCTCATGTGCCTACGTGTCAATTCAGCTGAGGGCCTGATTCTACCCCCAGCTGGATACAAGTTACTCCCATTGAAGCAAATGGGTGATACTTTACCTAGGTTCTTCTCTGACTCTTTTGCCCTTGGTATCAGGCAGGGAAATATGAACCCCATTATACAGGTGGCACTGAGAGTGCAGGGAAATGAGCCCAGATCCCTTGAGTCCCAGGCCAGCACGGTCCTTGCCCATGTCCTAAGGGTGGAGGGGAAGGGGACCAAGAGGCCTTTGAAAGAGCTTTTGGTGTCAGTTGAAGCGGGTTTAGCAGCGGTGTCGCAGTATCGGGGAAAAGCAGACGGAGGAGCTAAGGGAATGCAGATGCAGTTTGTGTCTCTGATTCCATGGGGCAGAATGCTAGTGGCCCTTTGGGTACCATAACAACAGCACCAGTGTCTTTTATGATGGCATAAAAGCCCTAGCTTTCATAACTCCTGGAGTGCCATGTTACCTCAGCAGATCTCCAGGCTGGGGTGTGTATGGTGTAGGCATGCTCTCAAAGCCCTGTTTGGCTGCACTCCGTTCTCTGCATCTTTATCGCTTTGGTTGTAGGTCGGAGGTATATGTATGTGTCTGCACATGTGAGTGCATTGTGCATTAATTCTTTCGGTGATCTCTCAACTATCCACAGTCTCATAGTTCCCCCTGAGGGACAGCTTTGTTGCTGGGAGCAGTAAAAGTTGTTTGTTTCCAAGGCTGTGATGCTGCTGTGCTGTGAATCAGCTTGGAACAAATCTGAGAAGCATGTATAAGGTCAAATTCTCCCTTCAGTTACAACTCTGCAAGCCTGTGTCAGTCAGTGGGAGTGTTAGGGTGCTTCAAGCATCTGAGGAGGGGAACATGGGGGGAAGCTACTGGCAGCCTGGAAGAGGGGGTGCAGGCTGATCCCTGAATAAAAGGATCTTTCTGCTTTTGCTTTTTGTAGACAAACCTCCTCAGATATTGTTTTGGAAACAGCTGCCAGAAGCCAGAGGCTGGGAGTGTGATGAGAGGCTATGCCCA